ATCCTTCAAAAATCATTCTAATATGCTGATTTGCTGCTCAAGAAAACTTTAATTATTATTATCAATAGTTGAGTAGTCTACATTTTTTTCAGGATGAAATAAAAAGCTTTTGTAACATTATACACTATACCATTCAAAAGCTTAGAAAATAAAATTATAGAAATTAACACTTTTATTTAGCAAGGATGCTTTAAATTGATCAAAAGTGATGATAAAGACATTTATAATGTTACAAAAGATTTCTATTTCAGATAGCCTAAATGCGGTTCTTCTGAACTTTCTATTCATCAAAGAAACCTGAAAAAAACTCTACTCAGCTGTTTTCAACATCATAATAATAATAAATGTTTTTTGATCAGCAAATCAGAATATCAGAATGATTTCTGGTAAAAATTTAGCTTTGAAATCACAATAAATTACATTTTAAGATATATTAAAATAGAAAACATTTATTTTAAATAGCGGAGTAAAAACATTTCAAAATTTTACTGTTTTGCTGTACTTTGGATCAAATAAATGCAGGCTTGGTGAACAGAAGAGACTTCTTTAAAAAAACATTAACAATCTTACTGTTCAAAAACTTTTGACTGGTGTATAGGCAACTTTAATTTTTCTCTAATTTCTAGCTTTTAATTGACTTAGAAATCTACAACTGCTGGACAATAACCAATAATAATGATTTGTTTGTATACTACAAACACTTTATCACATAATAAGGCAAAATAGTTTCTATACTGTAATAAATGCTATGTCAATTAGCACTGCATTGTTCATATACTTTATTTATTACCTGCTGGAGATTACTTGAAAAACACAAATAAACCATATATTGTCGCAATTGTATGTTTAATATATTCATGTTTCCAAACGTTTCAGCAATAGCTGTACGCTTTTGTCCATATTAGGAATTTCCTGGTACGACTTTCTGTGCGAGAGCGCTCTCCGGCTTCGAGTATGAATGAAACACACACTGCATGAGTGTTTAGCGCTCCGCGATGTTCATCTCGCCTTCTGGGTCCGAATAATACATCAGATCATGCACAGACTATCCTGTCTCTTTGAATTTAAATCTATATTTATTCACACGGCTTTTGAAAACCTCTATGCGAACACACTTGGCCGAAAAAGTGCGGGGGACGAACTTACGTGATATTAAAAGTGTGGGGGTGGGGGACGTCCCCCACGTAATCTACGCCCCTGCCTAGCCTTATCGCCTAATGACTACAATCCCACTGACTCCCTCTGCCTGACTGTCATTGCATTTGGAAACAAAGATGAAGTTCTCAAGGTGAATGCATACCTTGACTCTAGGGGCCAAACAACTAAAAATCAAGTCAAGAATCTTGGTGTGATTTTGGAGCCAGACCTTAGTTTCAGCAGTCATGTCAAAGCAATAACTAAATCAGCATACTATCATCTCAAAAACTTTGCAATCAAGATGTTTTGTTTCCAGTCAAGACTTGGAGAAACTCGTTCATGCCTTTATCAACGCTAATATATTTATGAGAGTAAATATGATTTCGGAGGGATTTAAAATGCCTAACTGAAGAGAACATGATGTTAAGCGAGAAGTTTTTGTTTACGTATCAAAAGAAAGTCCCGCTGCACAAACTGTACACTTGAGTGGTAAGAAATGAATGTACAAAAACTAACGTTCCGGGAACGTTCTGGGAACCAAAAATTGTTAGCTGGGCTGTATTTAAATCCAGACTCAAAACATATCTGTTCAGCTGTGCATTTACTGAATAAGCACTGTTTTTTATGTATCATCATCTTTTATTCTTAACTGTTTTAAATCCATTTTTAAATCATTTTAATTACTTGTTTTTGTTGTTTGTTATTATTTTTATGATTATTTTAATTCCTTTTATGTAAAGCACGTTGAGTTACCATTATGAACTCCACCATAATTACAGTAATACTGAGATAAAGCCCTTGCGACTGTGTGGAAACACCTCAGCTCTTACACATCATAAAAAAGTTTTAATTTAGGAAACAGTAAAAATAAACAGGTGAATTCATACCTGGTACATTTTTCTCAGAGAGAAGACTGCAGTTCTCCATTCTCACGCGCTGTTAGAGGAAACGACTAGAAGACCTACTTCAAAAGTGAATGAAAGTGAAAATCAAACAGAGAAGCTACTCTGTTTACTCTGCTGACGCGTCACGATATTTATGAGGCGCAGGGTTGGCTCATGAATATTACGTTTAGTATATAGGAGCTAGTACCGCTCAGATTTTTGAATCAGATTTTGGAACCAAACCAATTTTCTATGCGGCTTCTAAATATGCGGCTGATTCTTCCATTAAAGATAATCATTCTTTTTGCGTTAGAAATTTTTTATTGTATCTCTTTAATTACTTTTTCCTAATTTAACATCTTTCGTACCATACAGCAAAAATCTATTTTGTTTTGTTTGATATACTAGGAAAACGTATTGCAAATGTCATTATTTTAAAATCTGCCAGAATCTATATTAAATTTAAACATTAATAATAAATTTTGTTTTAAGCCCTACAGGCCTATACATACAATATAAATACATTTAAATTAAAAATAATAATTTAATAAATTTGTTATGTTTTATTAATTGGACTGAACGGAAATCATTAAGAAAGTTCTGAGAGGTTCAAAGCTTTATAACGCCATAGTAAGTAGAGAGCCGCGTGCGCGCGAAATTTAAAAATTAACGGTCATTTCGGTGTTAATGGCTGCCGGACTCGTTCGTTTATCCATCTCTTTTTTGAATTATAACTTAAAATTAATATAGTTATGAGAGTAAATATGATTTCGAAGGGATTTAACATGCCTAGCTGAAGAGAACATTATGTTAAGCGAGAAGTTTTTGTTTACGGATCAAAAGAAGAATGTCCCGCTTCACAAACTACACTTCTGTGGTAAGAAATGAATGTAACGTTACTGATATACTACTTTAAGCTTAAAAGAAGTAGTTATGGTACATGACACGACCATGTTATGAGAATATGTTTCATTTTAATACAGCTCTACTTTGACCATGTAAACCTATCAGTCCTTTCACACACAATATCAAAAATACACATCCGTACATATAGGCATAAGATCTTTATTCCATGACAAGTTCAAAACATTGCTGTTATACGTCTTTATGTACTAATATGCTAAAACTATAAATGTTCAATATAGTCTCTTAATTAATTAAAATACAGTCATTAAAATTAATAATGTATGAAAATTAGTCTCAATTATTTTTAGATTAAAGGGGGTCATATGATGCGATTTCAAGTTTTCCTTTCTCTTTGGAGTGTTACAAGCTGATTGTGCATTCATAAGATCCCTGAAGTTGCAAAGACTAAAGTCTCAAAACCAAAGAGATATTCTTTATCAAAGTTAAGACTCTGCCACGCCCCCCTAAAACGGCTCGTTCTAACACGCCCCCACATATCTACCTCACTATGTGGAAATATTAGCATAATGCCGCCCAAATGTGCACGCAAAGAAAGAAGGCGTGGCAGTTAGAAGGAGGGGGCTTTGTAGAAAACGAAGCGTTTGAGAGAGGCGGGGCATAGAGGACCTACAATAATGTACAGTATTTGAAAAATGTGTTTTTTGAACATTAAAGCATGTCAACATATTCTGTTACACCAAATACACAAAATAATGATCTTTAAAAAAGCATCATATGACCCCTTTAAATACAGCATCTCACATCACAAGGGACTGATCTCATGTGAAATTTTGTTTTACTACATCTTCAGCTGCTACACTGTGGGCGATCAGCTGGGCAAAGGTGGATTTGGCGTGATGTACGATGTCACGGTGGAAGCCTTGATGAAGAAACAGTGCGGCAAATCATGTGGCAGGCAGCTCACGCTGCAAACATGTGCTGCCTCCGCGGAGTGCTCCACCGTGACGTCAAACTTGACAACCTTCTGATAAACAGGGAGACATCCGAAGTCAAGCTGATTGACTTCGGATGCGGGGACATTCTGAGGAGGTCACCATACAAGTCATACCATGGTATGTATGATGTAATTAATTTCTTCCTAATAGATACAGAACAATCGTGCTGCATTAATGCAAACTTACACATCATACAAACTCCTCTCTTCTCCAGGCACAGCAGTGTACTCCCCTCCAGAGTACCACAGCAGGGGGAAGTACTACAGCAGGCCGGCGACAGTCTGGTCACTAGGGGTTCTAATGTTCACAATGTTGTGTGGACGTTTCCCTAGTGACTATGACCTGTTCCTGCTGCATTACAAGCACTGGTCCAAACCCGGCCTGTCAAAAGGTGAGATCTTCATCACAAAAAATAACTCATTCAGAATCATACAAAGGATCTTAGTTTTGACTAACATGATCAAATACAGCAGATGTAAAGTTTAAGGTTATCAAATGTCCTTCCCGTCTTCCTGCACAGAATGCAGTCACCTCCTCAGGGCTCTCCTGCTTGAAAAGCCAAGCCGGCGACTTGGTCTGGGGCAAATCATGTCCCACAACTGGTTTAAGGTAGTGAACTTAAGACCAGCTAAAAATAATTAATTTCTCATGGGAAAGAACCAAAAAGTCAAACCCGTTTTTTTTTTTGTTTCAGGTCGTCACATAAGACAACTCCAGTTGGCGTCTCTCATGCAGCTTTGCGTCTAGTGGGGCGAGCAAGCCTTGTGTAGCGTCTTGCGTCTTGGCTTGAGGAAGCAGTATTTGCGTCTGGCGGTACTGCTTCTGGAGGGATGTGTACATATTGTATATATGTACATACTTCTTTTGGTTGCCCCTTTTGTTTTTCCCATCATGGCCACTCCATTCTTGAGGTTCTTGCCACAGCTGTCCAAATACCAGAGCTCTCTGTCTCCACCTCCACAATGACAGCGTTCGCATTCTCTGCCACCACACAGCTACTAAAGAGGTTCCTGGCACTGCCAGTTCAGAGCTTCTTGTCATGGCTGCCCAGAGCTCTCTCTCTCAATGCCATTCAGGACGGTCATGGTTGGACCAGTGATTCAGATACACCGAAGATTCCTGTAATTGCAGTCTCAGAGGTTTATGTAACCGCTCCAACCAGAGCCAGCACCCAAGACCATCTCAGTCCCAGAGATACCCGTCTCAGCAACCTCGGTCTCCAGGCTTGCTGCCGTGTCTGTCGAGACCCAAGGGCTGAAGGTTCAAATGCCAGAAATCGTCTGTCCTGCTGCCAGAGGTTCCTGTTATAGCAGCCACAGAGGGTGCTTTCATTCGTGCCAGGTCTACAAGCTCCAAATATGAAATAAAGGAAAAAAAATGTTTTCATTTAGTCATTAAGCATATGCTTCAAACCAAAGTAGTTCACAAATGAGGAACATCACAAACAATTTATCATACAAGTCTCAAAAATACTCACAGGACCACAATGGCAAATTTCAGTCAGAGGCAAGTAGAAGCTAGAAGAGAAAATACAGTTAAGAAAAACGAGAAACTGTTTTAATAGAACTTGTTTACAGAAAGTGCCTTTTTACTTTATACCTCAGTGAGACTGAACCACCAGAAGCTGCTCGCTCGGAGACCATCGTGGAATGGAGAGAATATGATGCCAAATATCACAAAGTTGTATTCCTTTAAATATATTCATATGTAAAACCTGTAAAAGATGGTAAGACAAATATGTAAAATATTCCTCATTATTGATCTGTCCTGGTTAATATATCAATAGCTGTTGTAGTAGCCAATTTGTTGAAACATAGGGACATCATGGTATGGAACTCAAAACATTGTAAGTGAATTATGGACTAGTTTATGGTGTTTTTGGCCTTTCATTGAATGAACAAGTGGGAAGATTCTTTAATAGTAGTCTCAGCATTGTCTTGCTGCTCTAATTTACATAAAGTTCGACTTTAAACCAGGGGCGAGACCTGAAATGTTCAAGCGGGTGGTCCTACATAAAACTGGGTGGGCAAAGTGTATCATCTGCAAACTGCATGTCAAAATACAGCACAGGTTCAATACACAATACTTCTAAAGCATTGATAAACATTAATTTTAATTTCAACATTTACTAATACATTATTAAAATTAAAAGATCTGTTAACATTCGTACTAACAAAAATAACGAACAGTTATATTTTTTTATAACCCAACGTTAACAAATATAATAAATATTGTACCAAATGTATTGCTCATTGTTAATGTTAGTTAATGCATTAACTAATCTTAACTAAAGGAAGTTTATTGTAAAGCATTACCTCAGTCTTCGCAGATGATTTCATAATTGTCTGTCGAGGACCGCAGTACTGCAGAAATGTGTGCAGCTGCAAATTATGCAGTTTGTTGTGGCGAACAGGATCTAGCACGTTTATGTGTTTCTTTCCTCAACGAACGCATCTGTTCAGCGAATCTAACACTGTACCGATGCTAATATGATGCTTCAAACACGCTCGGCTCTGAAGTTTCCGATCGATAAATCCATCATCCGCAGGTGCTCTGGCTTCATTTGAGAGTTAGACGGTTCGGATTCAGTGCTAAAACTTAGTTTCAATTCGGATATTCAATATATACTTTTTAAAGAATTGATCTGATTGATATTCGTTTCGCTATTTTTCAAATTCAACGCCACAAACGCGCGTATTTACGTCGCAAAGCATTGTGGGTGGGACTAACAGAAAGACCAATCATCATTTTGACAAGCGTATAGAGGGAAAAATGAAGAAACTGCCTATAAAGTACAATACTTAAGTAAATGTACTTAGTTACTGTCCGCCTCTGCCTATAATTGACCATGAAAACTCGCGTTTAATATTTTTTAACTAAATATATAAAGTTATAGTAGCCTCGCCACTGCTTTAAACATGTTTGTGTATGAACATAACAATTTTAGCACCCAAACAGGATTCTGCTGCTGTGTGAAAGTATCCTCAGTGATCCAACAGCTTCAGATCACTGATACACACACACACACACACCACCAACAACAAAAACTATAAGAAAATTATTTTCCATTTCAAAACATTACCATGAGCCGAGCAGGACATCCCCCCCCCATCCCCGTCCTGTCCTAAATAGTATGTGAGATTAGAATAAGCGTGTCCCAAAGCATAGTATGCTGAAAAGAGTATGCCAAAAGTCCCCGGATGGTCTACTATTTCAGGTTTTTGTTTTTGAAGTGTGGATCCATGCACACTCTAATGGCTAAAATTACCCACAATCCATTGCGCGTTGGAAAAGGATTCGGTTCAGAACTACAAACACGAATAAAGTGTTTAAAAACTACAAACATGGCAGATGTGTGCGACTGAGAGGTTTAGATAAAGGGGTTTCAGTTACTAATAATCCACATTTAACCTGGTAAAAAAATAATTATTTAATGTTATCTGTGTTATATTTCATTTGCAACAACGTGAACTTTTATAAACATATGTTTGGCCGTTAACTTTTAAATGCATCATGCAAAAAAGTTCTTCGCATAAAGATCCACAGCTGGCAGATCGTGCCACTTCTTTTCTCTCCAATACAGAAGGAAGTTAAATGAAATGAAATATGGAGGATGTTAACTGTGACAAGATGATTGACAGGCCAGTTTACAGTGTAGCTATAGGACAGAGCGCTCTGTTAAAGATGCAAATGTATGACGTGATAGTATGTCCCAAAGCTTGCCTACTCTTCTACTACACACTCAAAAGCGTGTACGTTTTCTTCACCAAAAGAGTACATACTTTAAGCGCATAGTATATATTAGTAGGCAGTCTAGGCACATTGGGACGCAGCAAATGATCTGTAGTGCTGCATCCAAACTAAGTCAACACAAAATGGCATTCACAATCTATTTTACTTCCATAATATGACATGTTTAAACGGCACTTTTAATGAGAAAAGAACTTCATGTTATATTCTGGAACTGACTGGATTGTGAAAAGTGAATGTTAGATACCAGAATGGAGGCGAATAGGATGTTAACTTAGAAGTGAAGCAAGTTGTTACATTTTTATGAAAGATTATGAAGACAAACATTTTCTTTGGTATAATGTGCAGGTAATCATTTACAATACATAAAGGAACACTTTTTTAAAAAGTAAATGGGGTCTGTTTTCATGTTGTTTTATAAAAATAATTACAATAGTCTACTGTTTGAGGTTGACTGTATTACCTAACTATGAATATATTATTAAGAAAATAATTAATAGAATAAATACTAATAAAAAATAATTAATAGACACTTGCAGTATTTATATTATTATGACTATAACAACATAACTATTTAATAGCCGTATATGCACTGATTTTCAGAATATGCAAAACTACTGTTTTTTTGCTCTAATAAATTGCACCGGTAACTACAGCGAAAAAAATGACATTTTGAAAACGATGTTAAAGCCATATTTCTTTTTTTTTCTCTGCAAATAAACAATGGAGAACAAAAATACCCACCAGAACAGACCAAACCACAAATGTTTAAAATCAATAAATACTTTTTACTGTATGTAAGTGTGAAACCAAGCAGCTCCGTAACTGTGTACAAAATATATATATATCATTCAAATTATTAGTCAGGGCATAAGACAAGCAATACACAGGTATTGCATGAAAACGTTTTTGTCAAGGATCTTCCCTGGGAAGTTTCAGCGGGGGGTTTGTGCGAGCGCTCTCTGACAGTGGTACAGGATGCAGTATGGGAGAACAGGATGAGGAGAGCGCAGCCACATGGCCAGAGCAGCGCCGTTCACTCTGCAGTGCAGAAGACAGGGGGCGCCACTGAGCAGCCGACACGCTACGATTCCCTCGGAGCCTGAAGCGACAACACATGAAAGGGTTAGTTCACCCCAAAATGAAAATTAGGCTGCGTTTCACTCACCCCCGATTCATCCTAGGTGTATACGACTTTGACGAATCCAGTCGGAGTTATATAAAAAATTGTCTTTGATCTTTCAGGATTTCGATATAAGCCAAGAGGAGACTTGTTTTCCTTTGCTAAAGTAAGGAAACTTTGCTTTTTTTGATCCTGTAAACAAACGTTGGTTTTCACGAGACGTACCGGCGCATGCGCAACGCTGACCTCATACGTCATGCTCCCAGAACTGCTTCTGTTTACAACTGCTGGCGCAAGCTAGATTCAAGTGATTATTACGTTTTGAATATGGATATTTTTCTTACAAAAACGCATCGATTCGCTACACCCGGAGCCGTGCGAGACACTTTTTTTTGTGGAAGGGTACGTTTTATTTCACGTCTTTTGAACCGAAGGAATGCAACACCCGCTGAGTACAACGATAGAGCTTGAAAGATCAAAGACAATTTTTTATATAACTCCGACTGGATTCATCTGAAAGAAGAAAGTCATATACACCTAGGATGACTTGAGGGTGAGTAATTTATGGGCAAATTTTCATTTTTGGGTGAACTAACCCTTGAACATGATTGATGGGCTGCTTTCCTAAATAGTGTGTAAATTATAGTCAGCTATAGTGCATGTTTGAAATGGAATGTAAAAGGTGCTAAAATGACTGCAAATCACATTAAAGTAAGTGATGTTTTTTGTTTTTTTTTACCAATGATGTCCACTACATGTAGCTGTAGGGCGTCTTTGAGAGCGTTCAGGGTGGTTCTGAGCGGGTCCCTGGCATCTGTGAGCAGTTTCAGATTCTGTTTGACGTCATGAGACAGAGACAGCCAGAGTTTCCCATATTCCTCTGTGGTTACGACCAAAGGCCTGTGTGTGACAGAGAAAAATGAGTCTCATACAGTCAGAAAGCTCCAAACATGGTGAAATACTTTGAGGTTGTTGGTTGTTATTTGTATTTCACTTTCATTTTATATTCAGTAGAAAAAAAATTTTTTATTAGAAACTGCAACCTGAAATCTGTTGCAATGTGCAGGTCTTTAACCTCAGTGGAAAATTCACCTTCAGAAGATTATTTAGGATGATTTTTATCTCCAAATAGGTGAAATGTTCTTTACATAAAGCAAACAAACAAAAATATAAGGGAAAAAATCTATATAGATATGAAAGATTTTTTGTCAAGTGCAATTGTATATATGTATATCAGGGTGTATAATTGTGTATATATTATTATAATTAACTAAAACTACTACTACTACAAAAAAAAAAAAAACTTTACTTACATGAAATAAAATAAAAGTTAACTGAAATAAAATTAAATATTAAAAAATAAACATTTTATTTCAGCATTTCAGCTAGTAGCCAAGGCAACATTTCTCATTTTTATTTACTTTAACTTGATGTCATAAAATGACTAAAACTGAAATTA